AGGCTTCAAGGCATTTAAATCTAGCTTGCAAGAAAAGACAACAATGAATTATATACATGTAGGCACTCAACAATATTTATAAAAGTATTGAATTCTTTTTTAAAAGTGTAATGATAATAATAATGCCACATATATATGAGGGGGTACTCCCCCCAAAACCATAATTGCACTGGGTAGAGTGGAGCTTTCATGCTACACATTTGCCCCCACTCTGCGAGCATCAAGTAATTCTCTGAGTCAGTGCACCTTGTGGCGTCACCTGGGGAGGTTCTCTCTGGCCTCAGTGAATTTTTTTGTGTGAAAGTAGTTTCACCCAAACCTCATTTTATGTGATGGCTGATTTAATAGAACAGTGTATAGCTGTGAAATTTTGTTTCCTACTCGGGAAAAATGCTGCAGAAACTGTCATGATGTTGAATAGCGCTTACAAGGACAACCCTGTGGGAAAACCTCAAGTGTACGAGTGGTTTTCTCATTTCAAAAGAGGTGAAATGTTGATTGATGACAAACCTCATTCTGAACATCCATCAGTTTCCCAAACAGGTGAAAATGTCAACTCAGTATATTTTGAGTTCATTCCACCAGGTCAGACTCATGCTTTCTTTTCAGAGGTTTTGAAAAGATTGCATAACAGTGTGCAACAAAAAAGGCCTGATTTGTGGCAGATGGGCATGGGAGATGGCCTGGTTTTACCACCACGGACAATGCATCTGCTCACCTGCCCTCACTCTGTGCAACTTGTTTTTGTCCCCGTTAATGAAGAGGGACATGAAAGGACCATTAATGAAGAGGGACATGAAAGGACCGTTAATGAAGAGGGACATGAAAGGACCGCGATTTGAGACCTAGAAGAGGTGAAGGAAAAATGAGGGAGGTGCTATCAGCCATCCAAACAGATGTTTGAAAAATGTTTCCCAGGATGGAATCACAGATCTTACAAACATTAAAATGTATTAAGTGTAATGGAGAGTACTTTGAAGGTGCTAAGGTTGTTTTGTAAAAAAAAATTAAATATTTAGCTGTGAAAAAAATTTCTGGTATAAACCATGTTTTAAAATGATTTATACCCTTTGTATAAACCTCTGGTTGTTGTTAAGGAAGGGATTAGCATACAATTTTAGAAAAGGTTTAGGAGGTGTTATAAGTTGAATTGGGATTCCTAAAATGATATTTTGAAGTGTCAAGCCATGGAACTTGTCTATGTGACCTTATTTGAAAATAGGGCCTTTGAACATGTCAGTTCTTAGGGTAAATGAATGAAGTCATACTCATTTTGGGTAGGCTTTATACAAGTAACTAGCAATTTTATTAAAAAAAGAAGAGACAGAGAGACCCAAAGGGAAAATGAGAAGGACACAGAGAGAGGAGCTAAATCAAGATTGTCATACACCACTGTAAGTTAAATTGAAATAAGGAACGATCTTGTCCATGAACCTTCAGAGAGCTAGTTCTCTCAACACCATAATTTCATCCACTGAATCCCCAGAACCATAAAACAATTCATGTCTGCTATTGTAAGCCATCCAGTATACAGTACTTTGTTTGGTATCCCTAGGAGACAGAAGGGACATTTCTTTTTTGTCTTCAATAATGGATTCAATTAACAGTGTGTATAATGGAAAACATTAGTGTATTCCCAAAAAAGGGTTAGATTTTTAAAAAGCTCTAAAATTCTGCCTACTTCTATTTGGTGAACATTAGAACAGTAAGGATAATAATGTTTAGTTTTTGCTGTAGCAATTATTTTCCTAGACACATTGAATTAAATACCTGAAAGGCCTGAGGGGTTCTCCTCATGGAAAAAGGGGAAGGTTCTCCTTTTCCTCACACTCAGCTACTTTTCAGTTTCACGGCCAAGTCCTCCTCCCTTTCAGTCAGTTCACATGTATTGGAACTCGATCAAAAGCACCGTGGGCTGCTAAAGTGACAAACCAATCTCTTGGAGGAAGTAAGGCCAGGGTGCTCCTTAGAGGCAAGGATGGCAAGACTTTGCCTTACATATTTCGGATGTATTGTCAGGAGAGACCAGTCCCTGGAGAGGACAGGGTTGGTAAAGTGGAAGAAGACCGCCGTGAGCTGGATGGACACCGTGGCTGCAACAGTGGGCTCGGGCGTAGGAATCGCTGTGAGGATGGTACAGGGGCGGGCAGTGTTTCATTCTGTTGTGCATGGGGTCGCCGCGGGTTGGAACTGACTCAGTGGCACAACGGCAATGTAGGACAGAGTCATACTTGTGCATATTCCACATAAAAGCAATCCAACAGAATGTAGAATTTATTGCATAATATCAATGTCACAGGCAATTAAAATGTCTCTGAAGATCATTAAAGATGATTTCAGCAGTACATTGACAGAGAGCTTCCAGAAGTTTAAGCCGTATTCAGAGGAGGTCATTGTACAAGGGATATCATTGCTGACATTAATGGATCTTGGCTCAAAATAGAAAACATCAAAAAGATGTGTATTTGGTTGTTGACTCTGCAAAGGCATTCAGCTGTGCAGATCATAGCAGACTACAGATAGCCTTGAGAAGAATGGGAAATCCACAACACTTAATTGTGCTCATGCAAAACTTGTACAGGGCTCAAAAGGTAGTTAGTTGTGTGAACAGAACAGGGAATCCTGCATGGTTTAAAATCAGGAAAGGTGTGCATCGGTATTATATTATTTCACCATATTTATTAGATCTGAATGCTGAGCAGCTGGTATGAGAAGCTGGACTATATGAAGGAGAAATAGGCATCAGGATTGGAGGGAGGCTCATTAACAACATTGGCTATGCAGATGACACAGCCTTGCTTGCAGAGCAAGCAGGACTTGAAACACTGGCAGATGAAGATCAAGGATTGCAGCCTTCAGCATGGATTACAACTCATTGCAAAGAAATAAAAATCCTTACTACTGGACAAATAGACAACATTATGATAAACAGAGAAAATCTTGAAGTTGTCAAGATTTTCAGTTTGCTTGGATCCACAATCAGTGCTCATGGAAGCAGCAGACAGAATGCATGGCATACTGTGTTGGCTAAATCTGTTTCACAAGACCTCCGGAAGGGGTTTTTGAAGAGCCTGGGTATCACTTTGAGGACAGGTGCGCTTGAAGCCGTGCATTTCCATTTGTCTCATGATGTGGGACTTAGACAATGAATACCGAAGGGCACAGTCAGACGACCCATTTAAATTAGGGGCATTGGAGAACCATATTGAAAGGAATAGGGACTAGTAGACAACCAGCAAATCTGCTTTGGAAGGATGCAGACTGCATGCTCCTGTGCAGTGAGGATGGCCTGACTTGACTACGTGTACTTTGGACATGTTTTCAGGGGAAGCTAGTCCTGGAAAAGGGCCTCACACTTGTGAAAAGGGGGTCAGCTAGAAAGAGGACAACTGTCAACGAGATGGATCGACAAAGTGGCTGTAATAAGGGCTGCAACCCTAACAACTGACAGGATAATGCTATTTTGCTCTGCTGTTCATAAGGTTTCTATGAGTCTGAACGAACTTGAAAGTGTTGCGCAATTAAGAGAGGACAAAGTAGAGCTACTCCATAACGTTCCTAAGACTGTAACTCTTTACATGAATAGCCTGTCACATCCTTCTCTGGAGGTGGGATTGCTGGGTTCCAACCACTGACCATTTTTGGGTCAGCAACCAAGTGCTTTGCCCACGGCAACACTAGAGTTCCTTAACTCTTGCATAGTGTAGTCAAATTATGTGTTAGAAATTCAGCCCTGGTTTCCTGGGCGACATTAACAATGCCACTACTTAGTATTTCTAGTCACATAGCTACAATTCCATCTAGCTCTTATCTATATATATCTTCATGTTAATAAAACAGACTTGAAATCACTCATGTAACAGGAGCTTAAATGTTCATAATAAGAAAATACACAGAAGCTTCTTGAGACTCAGCAGTGATACCGGGCACTTTCCCTCCCGAGATCTTGTGAAATTGCAATATTCTTTCCAGTTAAATGCTGCCAACACAGAGTTATTCATATTTCTTGTAGACCTTGTCTGACTGAATTTTAAATTCAGTTCTGTTTTAAAAACCTGAGCTTTCATTTAGCAGCAATGAGTTTTCTCTGGGGCATGTAGAACTATGATGGGCCTTTATATTTGAGAGTGTTATTGAAGTTCATTGGTTCTGGTGTGACTTCTAAATGATCTATGTAAGACGTGCCACAAAGTGCTGATTTTTTGACCTCCAAATGGCTTGGTCATGTAATTTAAAGCAGGGGTCTCTAACTCCTTAAAAACTTATGGTTGCTAAGTTTCTCTGTGGTAAGCATTTGCTGAATTTCCTATACTTATGAGAGATTGAGATTCATGGTCAAGTAGAGGTCAAAGACATTTAATTTCATCCCATGTTTGTACATGAAGGCTTCAAAAAGGTTTTTGATTTTTTTAAAAATGGAATGAAAAGATTATGATGGCTTTTTCCCCTAGGAACTTTTAGAAAAATATATATTTTATTTTTTGGTATTGCTTTTATTTTCCCTTTTCTTTTTTAAAAGACAGTATCTTTAAGGGAACACATTCCTTAAATTCTGAATTTTGCAGGTTTTAGCTATATAACCTTGGCTAAATAATTTCATGGACCTTCAGTTTCTCATTAGGAAAAAAATATGGAAAATATAAAAATAACCCTGCAGATATTTATGGGATCAAATGAAATAACGTAGATGAAAGTGATTTGTAACCAATACAGCCCTACACAAATGCACGTTACTTTTATATTCTTTGATCACTTATTATTTGGGAGCTGAATTATTACACTTTGACTTCAATGTCAAATAGGTTGGCATTGATTTTTTAGATCTATTTTATGAGCCTCTTTTTTCTGCGTTGATTGACAGGCTGGGTATATTGTGATAGTTACTTATATGTGTATATTGTATATGTTTAAAATGTTAGGTTTAGAGTATAAATAATGCATGTATTGACTTTTAACTAAGGATACAGAGGTGTTTTTTTTGTCTTTTTCCCCTTCTATAGGTATTAAAACACATTTGACGAGGGATATTTCCCATCTCTATAATGAAGAAAAGCAGGAGTGTGATGACAGTGGCGGCTGATGATGTAAGTTGCGAAAGTCCGAGTTGCCATATTCCACCTAGTTTCTCCTTTGTGTGTTGTTGTCACCCGTAATTCTATCCAAACAGCAAGGTGGTTTAACACCACTGCTCCGTGACTGTGTTTCCAAGACCTGTACTTTGCCACAGCCTGGATCCATCATCACTGCCAGGTAGGTGGCAGGAATAACTGTATCTTGGATGAGGGCTGTTTCGGCTGGTGCATTCGCACTCCTCTGCGATGCCTCTCTTCCAAGCTTTCTCCCACTTACAGCCCATCTTTGAGAGTCCCTTCTTGAGACGGGCCTTTGGAAACTACTCCTAAGAAGTTTGCGATATATAGCTGCTCTAGGGCTTCGCTGCTCCAGTGTGCTCCTCGGCCCAACAGCAATAGCACAGCTGGTGTTTATTGAAAGTGGAGAAATCTAGGCCTTCCTCAGCCTACAGGTCAGAATGCATTGTCATGCCAGCCGAAGCTGACTGAGCCTGTACATCAGGTTTGAAGAGCTCTGCTCTAGATCATTGAGAAAGCCTTTAAACTCACCATCCTCGTAGCTCAGGATCAAGATTGGCTGAACTTAATGATCTCTTTTATAGGGTTGGTATAAATCATAATCAATCTGATGGTAGTGCGTTGTTATTTTCAATTGGCCAATTACCATCATCTTTGATTTGTTCAAATCTTGCATTTATAGTTAAGCTTCAAACAATATACTACGAATTCGATAAGCAAAAGGAAGGGAGGAAAGAAGAAAAGAAGGGGAAAGAAGTATGGTCTTTTCCTGATGTCTAAATAGAGCTAGTCTAGTTACTAAGTTCCCATTTCACAAATGGAGGGAGGAGTGGTGGGGGTAGCGATATTAGTAGAAGACTTGAACTTGTCAATTAATGTTAAATAGTGTCTTTTGGATAAATGCTAATTTTTTCCAGGACTCCTCCCAGTTCTCATTCTTTTTTAGTCAAGTGGCATATTGGAGCCTTCTACTCCTCTTTTCCACCAGCTCTCACCATCCTATACTTGAGGAATCACTCATTTTTCCAGGTTTTTACTTTTGTTCTCTGCCATTAGTTCAGCTGTTGCTCAAACGAGAGCAGGGCCATTGTTGGTTCCGTAGTAGAACTCTCACCTTCTATGCAGGAGATCGGGGTTTGATTTCTGGCCAATATTGGTACCTCATGCGGTGTTGCTGCGCACTGTCTTGTATGCTGATATGATAGTGAGCAGGTTCCAGTGGACCATCCGGACTAAGAAGACAGTCTTAGGTGCCTCCTTCCAAAACTCAGCCAACGAAAACCTTATGGGTGACAATGACCTGACTTGAAAACGATAATGGCACAGGACGGGGGAGACTTGCTTCCATTGGTCATGGGGTGACCATGAATGAGGAGCCTCCTCCGCAACAGCTAACAGCACATATAACAGAGGAGAATTACTCTTAGGATATGCTCCCTAAAAGTTTGGCCGTCTCTTCCCGTTCTGCCTTCCTTTATCTTAAATTTGTGATATTTCTGTTCATTTTCAGTCCTTAGCTTTACGCTGGTCCCTGTGGACCGTATAGCCCCATGCCATAGCAAACCAGTATGGTTAGACTGAATTCTCAGCTTTCTTTTGTTCCTCAGAAGGGCTGCAGGAACTCCCGAGAACCACAAGTTCGGAGGTGTGCGATCTAGGCTGGGGCCATTTCTATTATTTCTACTATTGAGTGTTGGGAAACATGATCAATGCTCTCTTATCAACACCTGTACATGTCGTCATCCCTTTTGCCCTCACTTCCCCTCAGTCATACATTCTAAGTTCTCAGTACCAACGCCATAGTGCTGCATCCACTCTTTCACTAACTTTTCCTTTGTGATAAACTTGGAGTTACAGTGGAAAGAATATTAATCTTTAAACAATGCCTTAATCTAAGAACATGTTGACAATGTCAAACCATTCTGTTTCCTCAGAGATTTTTATAAACATAGGCATGTTTTGAGTAGCATTATTATGAATTTAAAAAAATTTTCATTTTCAACTGAAAGTCCTTTCTTGGAATCTCTTTAAACTGATGAGATGTGCATTCAGACAGCATCATGCTGGTGAAAATAAAACCTTAAAGAAAATCAATCAATAATAAATTCACTGCAAGTAATTAAGAATTGACAGACAGCTTGTGCTTTTGAGGTTATTAATTTGAGGGGGAGTAGCACTTCAACTCATGGGTGAGAACTGGATATTATTATGAATAGCTCTGCATGGGTTAATGAGTATATAGAAAACAATTTCAATATTTTCAGTATTTAAATTAAATTCCAAAAAGCTATTCCATTATGTTCTTTCATGACAATGCATTTCATTTTAACTGAGGTTTGCTAAAACAAATCTCTTTAACTCAAAGAGTGACTTCGTACCTGTAATTTCAAGCATACTGGCAAATCAGTGGGGGAGATATTTTGTTGCGGTATTATTATTTTTCAAATAGCAAGTACCAAAAAAGAGTCCATTTAATTTATCTACTAGTTGTAAAGGAACCCTGGTGGTGTAGTGGGTATGTACTGGGCTTTTAAGCACAAGTCAACAGTTTGAAACCACCCTTCCAAAGGAGATCATGTTTTCAAGGCATGCAGCAAGACTTAATGTATCTTGTTGCTGAATAGGACTCCACTGTGTGTATACCATACAGTGCATACACCGTGCTTGGTTGATCCTACTATTTGTTAGTGGGCTTTTTACTCATTTCCACTTTCTGACTATTGTGAGGAGTACAGCATGGCGCCCTGGGGTGTACATCTCGGTTGATATCCCTGTTGTCACTTCTTCTGAGTAGAGACCTGTGAATCGGTCATCTGACAGTTCTTTGTTTGCCTTTGGAGAGACTCCCAAACTGATTCCGACAGGTGGCTCTAGCATTTTACAGTTCCACTAGCAGGGGATGAAGGTTCTGTTTTCTTCACAAACCCGCCAGCCTTTCTTGATTTCTCTGTATCATTGTCATTCTAATAGAGGTAAGGTAGTATTTCATGGTGGTTTTGATTTACATCTACCTTCTGCTAGCCAGTGGGGAAAGCTGAGACTGTCTTTCCTACAAAGACTCACAGTCTCAGCAAGCGAACCGAGGTTTCCCATGAGGCAGAACAGACTGGATGGTCAGGGGCTTGAAGTGTGTTTAACAGTAAATCCCAAGGAGCCCGAGTGGCATAGTGGCCATTAGCAGTGCTATAGTATTTTCTTCTTATTTTTACTTATTTTACTATAGCATTCGCAGCGCTATAGTGTTTTCTTCTTATTTTTACTTATTTTACTATAGCACTCGCAGCGCTATAGTGTTTTCTTCTTATTTTTACTTATTTTACTATAGCACTCGCAGCGCTATAGTGTTTCTTCTTATTTTTACTTATTTTACTATAGCACTCACTGCGCTATAGTGTTTTCTTCTTATTTTTACTTATTTTACTATAGCACTCGCAGTGCTATAGTATTTTCTTCTTATTTTTGTGCTGGTGTGACTATGTCAGGCACAGGTCCATTTGTCACTCCCACTACCAAGAGTACCAGGAACAATTGTTGCCAAGATAGATGCAAAGATGAGTAACTCTTAGCCAAGGGTATAAGACAGTGCTTATCGTGTCAAAGATATTTTGTTCATGACCTTGCTGAGGCATGTAATTGAACATTGCAGTTTAAAACTTGATAAAGTAAAAAAAAAATTAAATAAATAAAACTTGAAGTATACTTTTCTTTTTTCTGAACTCCTACTTAACTTGACAAAAACAAAACACAGGGAAACAGAGCAGTCAGTCGTCCCTAATTACCCACATCCTGCTGTCCTTAGAGATTATTTGTAGTTTAAAAACACACTGCTTAAAGAACTTCATTTTTTAGCCATTGAAATTCGTTCCCTTGTTGAAGAATGATATCATTGGTGTCCAAAAAATATTTTTAATTAGAGGATTTCATTTTAGCAGATTTTTTAATGAGAGTGTGAGAAATGAAGGAAAAAGCACAAAATGATCGGGAGAGAAACCCTGAGAGAAAGAGGAAGACAGAAAGTAGAAAGCCTTCTATCCCATATGCTGTAAGTGATAAATGCATTGACTGTGCATAACGATGGCCAAGAATAGGCCACTGACAAATTTATTCTAAAAGTTGAGAATGAGCTTCCTCTTGTGGCTTTTCTGAAGCTTTTGACGTCAATGTTAGATTCCAGTTGTGAGACAGTGAATCAGGACTTTATGAGTGACAGCATGGTCACATCGTTTCTTATTTTACCCTATGGTGCATCATTCTAAACCTTTACGTTTCATTTTCTTTCTCTTCTTTTTTCTTCTCCTGTGACGTCTCTAGAATGTGAAGGATTATTTCGAAGGCAGTTTGAGTAAATCCTACAGTTCTTCCAGTAACACACTTGGGATCGACCTCTGGAGAGGTAGGAGGTGTTGCTCAGGGAATTTACAGTTACCACCACTATCCCAGAGACAGACTGAGAGAGCAAGGACTCCTGAGGGAGATGGCATTTCCAGGCCAACCACGCTACCGCTGACCACGCTTCCAAGCATCGCTATTACAACTGTAAGCCAGGAGTGGTGAGTAGTCTCCAAAACAAATGTCAAGCCTAATATTTTGTTTTCCAGTTACTCTAAATACTATTTCATGCTATTAAAATACGAAATGTCTGCAGGCGAACCCAGCTGTTGTTACTTTGAGAAATTGTTTGTCCATGGATAGCAAAAAGAGGCTTTAAAAATGCAAATATTTCTAGCACTGAAGATTGGTAGGCCAATGTTTTATGCAAAGTCTAATGGTAAAGGAAAGAAATACATTTTTCATTAATGTCAAGAGACAGCAAAATCACTACTTATCATCTGGCTCTTAAAAAAAAGAATTGCTTAGTATGTTTCAATATTAAAAAAAATAAGAATATCTGTAGAAGAATATTGATTTTTAGAGATAGGAGATATTCTTATTGCTGTATTCTGGCATATACTTGTCCCTAATTTCTTTTTATTCTAATTTCACTTTAAGAACCTTATTTTGTGATTATCTACAAAGTAAAACACTTCCTTGTAAATCCAAAGAAAATGCAACATTGTACCTTGAAAATGCTTGACATATTTTGTATAATCTATATTTGATGAAGATGCTATTTTAAACTAGGTCAAGTGTGAAAACTTAATATTATAACATGTTATAACTGTGATTAAAATCCCAACATGATGATACTCCTTCAAATATTCTTATTAAATATTTAGTAATTTGCATAGAATTAATTTTTTATTTGCATATTTTTTTGTGCTTTCTAAGAATGGGTTGTTTAAATAGCGTGAGGTTTTATCATTTAATTGAAAAGTATTTCCCTGTGTGTCTTGTAATTTGTAATGATGCTAATGAGGTATTTCAGAAAATCCATTGGTGTTTAAATCATTTATTAAAGCAAAAGACTAAACACAATGAATTATTGTAGTACTATCTCAATAAGTCGTTAACCTCAGTGCCACATGCTAAGCGTGGCATACTGATGGATGATCCAACATGGACTCTTTGAGGGATACGTGCTGACTCCTAGTTGAGGATTAGTAAGGGCATTCAGAATTAGATTACTGAGATTCCAGGTACTACACTGAGCTGCATAAAATGGTCCACCAAAATATTGTGTAGGCGACAGGGAAGCACGGCAAAGTTGTATGATAATGCGTTGCAGCAAGAATGGGTTAAAGATTTGAGAAGCAAGTTGATTGAGCTGAATTAAAGAGTGGAATACTCAGAGCCAATCATTCATCCCCACAGAGTTGATCGTGACTCCTAGAAACTCCAGTGGGACAGAATCGAATCGTCCCTTAGGGCTTCCTGGGCTGGGCCCTTTACAGGCACGTTCTGTTCGTCTGTCTCCTGCAGAGCTACTAGTGGATTTATACTGTTGAGCGTTCAGGTGACAGTCAAGAGCCTAACCATTGAAATATCTTTTTTCCCTTGATATGGGATCTATCTCTATCGATCTATATCTCTCTGTCTGTCTATCTATCTATCATCTATCCTCTATTATCTATCTTCTATCTTCTGTTTTTTTCTGGAGAACCCCACACGCTGATACAAGTATGTATATAAAGATGCAGCTTGATGAACTTTTACCAAACAAACATGCACACATAATCAGCACCTAAATGAAGAAACATACATCACCTACACCTGAGAGAGCCCCTCCAGCTAACCCCTCCTTCTGAGTTTGCCGGGGTTGACTTGTTTGTGCTTGCGCTGTGTAGGAGAGGGCTGACACAAATGTCGTCTTTTGACTCTAGCTTCTTTCCCTCAACTCTAGGTTGATGAGGTATGGCTCATGTTTTTCTTCTTACTTGTATACTGGTCATTGTCGTTGAAATAGGACTTGTAGGCACAGTTCAAGGTATAAAAAAGAAAGCATGGGAGCAGAGCAGAGAGCCCCTGAGGGAGTACAAAGGACAGACTCTGGGGTCAGAGCATGGTACCCCATCGGACCTGACTGAAGGACACGCCTAGAGATCAAAAATCAGACCTTGATCTATTTACAG